TGGGTTGTAAGCTCCAGTTCTTGCTTTTAAGATCCCATTTAAATTGAACTCTTCTGTGGCCCTCTCCTAAGCTCCTGAAGGGAGATCAGTTCTTCTTCTGAGATCTCGCTAGCACTTTGACAGTGTAGTTTTATTGTACGTAGGCCTCATTAAATCTTTCACTAATGTCCCTCTTCTCCACACAAAAATGAACTGCTTGAGATCAGAAAAGTGCATGTTTCATTTCTTTGAGGCTTCGGTAAAGGTGCACAGTGTCCCATGAAGGGGCGAAGTGAGTGGGGAAACAGCTCAATCACAGGTCGTCCTGACAGGGGAGACAATAGTGCCCTCCACTTTCCTTCCCCACCCACTGACAGAAAGCCTGCCTTCCCTCAGCCTCCATGCCTCCTCCTTTCTTGCCGCTCCGAACAGCCTGTCTGCCTGCTTCCTTGGCTATTTCACCACCTCTGTCTGATATGGCGATCAGCCAGCTCTAAGTGTGAAGGGCTTAGGAAGGATGAGGGAAAGGGTGGCGATTTCCCCAGCCCTCTGCCAAGCTCCCATCCTTCGCAGGACATTCCTTCACAGCCCTATGGCATTTCCAGTGTAAGATGGCGTACTGACCACATGCTGCCACCTCCCCTTCCTGCCCCAGAACTTTAGACAGAGTGGAAAGATTTTAAACAAAAATCCAGACCCAGACAAAAAAAGTAGTAATGACTACAAACTGAAGAGCCCTGAACAGGACAGGAGTGAAGAAGAAAGTACTGCTTACATGAGCTTCTCTAGTAAGAGCGGGCAAGGTGGCACATGCAGATGCACTGACTTGGTGGTGCTGATTGCAGGAGCCCAATATGTCACACCAGTGGTTTCGCCTTGGCCCCTCCTGGTGTCTGCCACCCTCAGGCCTTTCCCACAGAGGTCAGGTGGCAGGCAACAAAAGGTAGTAAGTGGAGGCCCGTGGCTCTAAACAGCGGTCAGAGGGACTGACAGCATCCTGGGGAACCAGGGAGCCTCCAAGTCCAGAAGACAGTCACTGGCACACACATACCTGGCAGGACCTCCAGCTCTGGTGTCTCCTCACTTCAGAGGAGCTTTCTGCAGTATGTGTGCCCACGCAGTACACACATGCCCATACTGCCTCTCCCTACTAGTGGGAGCAGTAAAAGGTCACTTATGATCAAGCTAACAGAGCTCTAATCTCAGATAGGAAAAGGAACTTACAACTGAGAATCACTGAATATTTGAGGATGGCTGACATCAAGAACTAGTACCTGTCTGTCAGTTAGTTATACTGTGGTTTGTGTGTTTCTCTGATGCTGGAAGCTGTGCCACTGAGGTGTTAAACACCCGCAGGGTCACCCATTGTGGACAGGATTCAGCACAGCTTCCAGACTAAGACAGATGAGGAGGAAAGGCTTAGAGATTACATCAGAGCACTGTCCAGCTGGCTTGCTTTGGACCTGACATCTAATGATCCATCAGCTGCTAGAAGTGGGCCTCCTGCTTGATGAGGCAGAGGGTCAGCGAGAGCATGGGATACGTTCAGGGAGATGGACCTAAACACGCTCATGGTTCTAAGGGAGGCACAGCACTTGACAATGCTTCACTCTGTTATAGGATATTTTGCCAAGAGTTGAGGTGAACTTGATGGCAGCTAAGAAAGATCAAGGGTCACTAAAATCTACCGACTGGGATAAAATATTTGGCAATACCATCTCAGACAAGAGTCTCATAATGAAAGTTTATAGAATACTCCTGGGCCTCCACAAGAAAAAGACTGATAACCCAATTACAAAATGGGCAAAAGACATGGAAAGAATTTTTACAGAGGAAGATACTCAAATGGCCAATAGACATATGAAGAAATGGTCCAAATTACTGTCAATAAGAGAGATGCAAATCAAAACCATAATAAGATGCCATCTTAGTCCAGTAGCAGTGGCAAAATTTAACAGGACAGCAAGTAATAAATGTTGGAGAGGAGGTGGCGAGATAGAAACTCTTTTACATTGTTAGTGAGATTGTACAATGGTATAACCACTCTGGAAGGCAGTTTGGCACTTCCTCAAAAAGCTGATCATAGGATTTCCGTATGACCCAGCTATTCCAGTGTTTGTAACATACCCCAAGAAAACAAGAACTGATGCTCTAATGGAAACTTGTACACCAACGTTCATGGCAGCATTATTCACCATCGCAAGAACATGGAAATGGCCCAGATGTCCAACCACAAACAAATGGATTGAGAAGTTGTGGTACATTCACACAATGGAATACTATGCAGCACACAGGAGCAATGATTTTGTAAATTACTACCTAACTTGGGAGGGGCTGCAGAGTATTATGCTGAGTGAACTAACTCAGTCAAACAAGGACAAATACTGTATAAAACCATTACTGTAGAATGAGTATGAGAATACAAAGGGTGGGGGAGGTTAGAAATAAAAAGGTGAAGATGAGGGGGTAGGGTGTTAAACATATGGTTGCACAATTCAATGGGTGGGTGGGGTGAAGGAAATGGGAAGGATCTTTTGTGAAAAACAATGTGTTCAAACTTTGTAAATAAATCACTATAAAATTTTAAAAAATAAATTTTAAAAAAAGAGTCACTAAACTTATCTACAGATCTTACAACAAAGGAAATAAAACGTAACTCAACCTTTAAAATAAAAATAGAGAGATTTAAGAGGATATTATTCCGACTGTGGTTCTGCTAATTAAAAAATTGCATTGCTAAAATAAAAACCCAACAGCTGGGCCAAGTAGCAGAACAAGCACAATCATAGACTAAATTAAAACAAGAAGACTAAACAGAGAAATTTGCTCAGAAATCAGCCCAAAAGGGGAAAGAGGGAAAATTAAGAAATATAGCAGTCTATCTAGAAGTTCCAATATTTACTCATGTAACATGAAGTCTAGAAAGAAGAGAGAACAAAGCATAGGGACTATGTCATGGAAAGAGTAACTTCTCAGGACTTTGGTGGTGACACAATGAGTTTGCTGACTAAAAGGTGGGTAGTTCAAACTCACCAACCCTTCCTCAAAAGAAAGATCTTCATGGTCTGTTTCTGTAAAGATGAAAAGCTTTGGAAACTCTATAGGGAGTATATAGTTTGCTGTGTAAACTAAGCAGCTCTGGCGGCCTAGTGGGAAAAAGCTGCACTGCAATCCCAAAGACATGTGGATCGAATCTACCAGCTGCTCCATGGAAGAAGGATGGGCCATCTGTTCAATTAAACCTGCCGGAGGGTCAGCGATGAGTCAGTTCCAATTCGATGGTATATAGCAACAACAACCCGGCAATGGTTGTGTTTTTTTTCAAGTTTGAAGTCATTCATGAGTCTTCAAATTAAAAATACAATAAGCATAAAGCAATGCAACTGAAAAAAGACTTGACTCCTTGTTTTTCACTCCTTGTTCAAACTGCATATAGTTCAGGGCAAAGCAAAACCAATCAAAAATAGATTATCTCAGAAAGGAATAAGAGTCATATTGACCTCAGATTTTTAACAAGCAATGATGAATGCCAGACCTCTACAGTGCTAATGGAATAAATTTTAAAAGCAGAATTCTATACGCAAACTATTATTCTGAACAAAAATGAAACAAAGATGTTTTCAGACTCACATTTGAGGGGGTTTTTTGTTAATTTACTAATGTGTTCACTGTCAAAAATAACAAAAAAAGACATACTGACTGCCTTTTGGATTTTTATGAGATGGATAGATACAGTAACTAGGGCAATGGGAGTCGGTGTGTCAGAGTTAGACTGGTTCAGGACAGGGCAGGCTTCAGAGCTGTTGTACACAGGGTCCCTACGAGTCACAAGTGACTCGACAGTACATAACAACAACAACATATAAAAGCTTCTTAAATTTCCTCAGAAATTAACAGATTTATAAAATAGAGTAAAAGAGATTTTAAAAAATTAAACTATTAAGAGTTTAAATATCATAATTAACATCTTAACCTATAGTGATATACAGTTCTATATATAAAAGTAATACATTAACAAAACATAACTTCCCTAACATCATTACTTATACAAACCCAATCTGACTGATAGCTAATACAGTTTTAGACATAACTAACAGCCAATATTACATAGCATGACTCAATTTATCTTGAATTCTATTTTTGCAAAAATAGGGCGAGTGATAATCAAATGATGTTTCTTATGTTAGTCTTATTTTTTCCCTTATTAGTTCATTTTTTAAAAAATTATGTTGTGGCTTCCAATTACAAGAACATCTAAGCAATGACAGTCAACTAACCAGAAAGATAGCTGTGGTTCTGGGACCCACTGAAGCTAAGCAGCCTAGCCACACTGACGGCTGTATGAAGGTTCAAGATTTTCTCACTTGAAACTTGAAAGCCTTGTAAATGCAATAGGAGTGAAGCTGTGTGACTTCTAAGTACTGGTTCTTCTGAGCCCCTTCACCTCCATAGCCCATGGAGAACAACCCAGGACCCAGCCCACAGTCCCAGCGAGCTACCTGCTGACAATGAGCACTAACCAGCCAGCAGCTGCAAGAGTAAGGCATTCCAAAAAGGCAGCTTCCAGCCCCTTCTGAGCCATTCCAGAGGCCACTGCACAGAGCAGAAGCCAGCTGTTCTCCTGCTCCAGCCCAAATTACCTGAGAAAATAATTGATGTTTAAAGCCATTGAGGCTTATGATGGTTTGCTATGCAACACTAGGTAACTAGGACAGTTTCCCTTACAAATGTAGACTGTCTACAGGGAGTTCTGGTGGCAGAGCCCATAGGGGTTATGTTGCTACCCCAAACAGTGTCTCTCTGGCTGTTCAAATACCCCAGCAGCTCCATGGAAAAGATTTAAGCACAAGTACTGCAGAAGACATATGTAGTATTAATACAGAGTATTGCATCAGATAGTTAGATGACATTTAAGCTTCTTTCCCATGCTAAGATTCTATAATGAATATAGTGAGTGTTCAAGCACTTTCTAACATGATTATTTTTCTTATGGGAAATAATTTTCTTCAATGACATTTTACCTTTCAGAGAGCTGCCGGATCTGTGGGATTCCCATATACTTGTGGAAGTGTTCGAGAACATTCATCACACCCTGGAGAAGATTAGCAACTTCTCCATACTGTCTTCGCCTGGTCATGGCCCTGCAAAGAAATAAGTAATTGAGAGTTGCAGCAGAGCAATGATGACACAGAATGCGGTGTACATGCACTCTCAGCTCTGACTATGCTCAGGGCTGGGCACTGGAGCAGGAAAAGCAGACAGGGCCCATATCCTCACTCAAGGTGACTATTACTAAGTAAGGGACAGAGGTACATACTCAATACTAATGAGAAATTTTAAGTTAGAAGGACAAGTTACGTGTTATGTGGAGTCTAAAGAATGACATTGGTGAAGTCTCAGTAGGTGAAGGAAGGGATTCTAAAAAGACCATGGCTTTATTATCTGTTGTTCAGAAATGGCTTTATTATCTGTTGTTCAGAACTGGATGTTCTGGTGGTACAGTGGCTAAGTGCTCAGACATTAAACCAAAAAGTCAGTAGTTCAAACCCACCAGGCTCTCTGTGGGAGAAAAGATTTGGCAATTTGCTGCCATATAAATGAGAGTCTAGGAAACCCTATGGGGCAGTTCTTGTCTGTCATTTAGGGTCACTGTGGCTCACAAAAGTACAGGATTACCAGCTTTTTGACAGAAAAGAAGGTTAAGGATGTTTTTATCTAAGGATTATGGTCCACAAGCAAATCAACTACATCTTTCTAGAGCATAACAAAGGGCATTTATTCTTATTTGTATATTAACCCAGCTCTGAAGATTATGCAACTCTGTATCAGAGATTATCTGGTTTCCCTACTGTTAAAATTAACGAAGCTTAAATAAAAGGATGCTGGTAAAATCAACAGTTATTCACTGAAAGGAAATACAAACTATTAGATCAAGATTTTTCATTAGGGTTGGGCTTTTAAATGAAATGTATAATTTATGACTTCCTATAAGAGGCATTTCAAAAGATGGGATCAAGTTCAAGCCAAGCAGTTTCATTCCAACCACTGTTCAGTAGGAAGGACTGAGCACTTGAGGAAAAGGTCAGAGGAGCCTGCCCTTCCCGTCTCCCACTGGCCTGCTGATCTCCTGGTCGGCAGTCCTGGGAGACCGGACCAGCAATGCGTTGGAGCTCCTGCTGGGCCTGAGAGGGATCAGAGATGAGTCTTGTCACTTCTCCCTTTTCTTTAAGGCTCGTCCTTCCCAGACTTTGGAAATGTCTCTAAGTCTCTGTCAAGATGCTCTGTGTACACATGGACTTAAAATGAGGCTGAGGTAGAGGGACTTCTCACCTTGAGATAACACAGAAATGAACTGTAACATCAGACTTTCTATTACTGATTATTTGGCAACTATCTTGTCCTTTTCATAACATTTCTAATGTTCCAGGTGTCACACTATGCTTTCTATAAGTCACACACCTTTCTACTATCTGGCTAGCCTTGGAAAAATAGGCTGAAATCAATCATGTGTCTGTTTCCATATGTTCCCTTCAATGACAGTGTAACAGCCCACTACAGACAGGCAAGCTCAACTCGGCCTAGGTTGTGGGGCATGATTAGGGCCTGGCTGCCCTACTGGCACAGATCTACCACAGAAAGGAACAATATGCTTGCAGTCATTTCTTGCATGCTTTCTGGGTCTCTTGCAGAGTTAATTCCACCTCATTTCAAAGATTCAAGTCTTCATTATAGGTTTGAACACCAGCAGAAATGAGCGAAAAACGGTGATTAAACACCTGAGACATATTGGCAGCAAGTGGAGCAGGATGGTGAGACTGCTGATTGAGAAGTGAATAAACTCATTTCTTTTCATTACGCAACACATTTCCTGAGACCCAACAGCAAGAGTCAGCCATGCTTACTCGAGGGAATCGACGCCACCTGCCAACATGTGCAAGTGGTTCAGCGTCGTGATGGAGGTGGTCAGGTGGCGCTTGGCATGATCCAACTGCTTAATATCTCGGGTGATTTCTTTAACCTAAATGTTAAAAAACAGTAAGAGAGAAAGGGGGAAGGTAAGAAAACAGTGAAACCATTTGCAAGTAGCACCCAAGAAACAATGAAAGTTGAAGCAAGAATAAAACACCTTGCAAAAATAGTCCCAAACACAAAATCAAAACCATTTCCAAACAGTGCCTGGAAATTTAATTTGGCATTTCTTCAGAAGATTTTACCCAGAGTAATAAAATCCTCACTTGTGAAAATGAAATTCTTTTTTTTTCTCCCTACCCCAAATAGCAAGTGATTCTCAGAGCATATAGACTATGGGCCCCAAAGCACAGGGCATTATCTTTTGAAGAAAATGAAGTACACCGTCTGAGCTGGAGCTAGAGGACTCAGTACAAAATGGATAGTATCAGTCAGCAGTTTCTATTGGGATGGTCTTTATTAATGAAATAAGGGCTTACTGTCTAGGTCCCTAGTAAAATAAAAGACTTTCAAATCTCAAAAGACTAAATGTAACCAGAGAAACATATTTAGCTAGTAATGTTACAAGTGGAGAAGAACAGTCTGAAGAAAATTCTGATAATGTTGATCCAGTGGCTGAAGGAGAGAGAATCTCTGTATCTGGGAATATGAATGAAGTCATTGTTAGGTACCATCGAATATGATTCATAGCAACTCTACGAACAACAGGTATGAGCCTTGCCTTCCCCTGTGCTATCTTCATCATCTCTGATATACTTAAGCCCATTTTTACTGTGTCAATCCGTCAAGCTGAGAGTCTACTTCTCTTCTGCTGACCTTCCACATTTCCAAGCATCATGTCCTTTTCCAAAAACAGGTCCCTCCTAACAATATGCCTAAAGTAAGTGAGACAAAGTGATATCATCTTTGCCTCCAAGTAGCACTCTGATTTCACTTTCCCCAAAATGTACTTGTTAGTTCTCTTGGCAGTCGATGGGATATTCAGTACTCTTCTCCAACATCACAACTCAAACACATTAATTCTATCATCCTTATTCACTATCTAACCTTTTAATGCACAGGAAGTCATTAAAAAGACTATGGCTTGATGTAGGTGCACCTTAGTATTTCAACTAACATTATTGATCCTTAGAACTTTGGAGAGGCTCTAGACAGCAGATTTTCCCAATGTAACACATCTTCTGTTTTCCTGATGTTGAAATGTAATCCATATTGAAAGTTGAAGTCTTTGCACACCCATGTTTACTGCAGCTTTGTTCACAATAGCAAGGAGTTGGAAACAACCTAAGTGCCCAGCAACAAACAAATGTATAGAGAAGCTGTGGTATATTCACACAATGGAATACTACACTGCATTGAAAAACAAGGAACTCATACAATATTATTCAAAATGGGTGACTCTGGAGAACATTATGCTGAGTGAAGTATCTCAGTCACAAAAGGACAAATACTGCATGGTGCCACTGTTGTGCAACAGGACTGACCTCAGGGTTGGGGAGAGACTGAGAAGGATGGGTTCGATGATGTATACTGCATTAAAACAGATGAGGGAGAAAACTGTTTAAAAGGGATATGTGATTAGGTATTTTTGTCATGATAGGAGTCTAGAGCGAAGGCTACATGGTGATGTGGACCTGGGGGAGGGTTTGTAAAACAATGAAAGAATTTTTCTTTTACTTTTCCAAGAGGGTAGTGTACTGGGGGGAGGGTTGGGAGAGGAGAAAAGTGCAACAATGAATGAATGGAAATCCAAAGTCTCTGTAAATTTTACTGAAATTAATAATAAATTTAAATTTAAAAAAAGTAAAAATAAAATAATGCTTAAGTTTTTAATCTTCTGCTGTAAGTGCTTCAAGTCCTCTCCACTTTCACCAAGTAAGGTGGTGTCATATGTATAACATAAGTTGTTGATGAGCCTTCTTCAATCTGGATGCCACATTATTCTTCATGAAGTCCAGTTTCAAGAAGTCTTACTATATGATGTGTTCAGCATACAGATTGAACAAGTATGGAGAAAAGATAAGAGGGACCCAGAAATTCCACCCCTGGTTATATTACCAAAGATCTGAAAACAGGGACTCAGAGAGACAGGTAAACATCCACTGTCACATAATACATTGTCACATTACTCACAATAGACAAAAAGTGTAAACAGCCCAATACCCATCGAAAGACAAATGGATAAACTAAATGTGGTAATGCAATAATTGTTGTTGCTGTTGTGTACCATCAAGTCAGAACTAACCCATCCATAGCTGACCCTCCCACAGGTTTTCAGAGACAGTTAATCTCGTGGAAGGAGATGGCCCATACTTTTCCTAGGGAGCAGCTGGTTGATTTGAACAATGTGCCTTCAGGATTGCAGTGCAGTTTCTTAGCACTAGGTGACCAGAAAAGCTCCAGTGGTATACTGATCAGCCATAAAAAGAAACAAAGTTCTAATGCTTGCAACAACATAAAACACTGCCAACATTATGTTAAGTGAAAGGAACCTAGACACAAAATAAATACTATATGATGTTAAGTGGCCTCAAGTCACTTGCAACTCATAGTGACTTTTATATATATATATATATGATATATCATATATCATATATATATATAAATACACTTGGCCAACTGACTGGGAGAGATCGATATTTGTTCCTATCCCAAAGAAAGGTGACCCAACCGAATGTGGAAACTACAGAACAATTTCACTGA